TATAACAGCAAATGTACAACGTTTCGACAAGGTTTTTTCATCATCAGGTACATCATCATCATTGTACCTGATGATGACAAAACCTTATCGAAACGTTGTACATTTGCTGTTATATTAAAGTTTTTCTTCATTACCCATTCAAGCCATCTCCAGCCATTATAGAGAAAAGTCCATGTACAATTTTACTAGTAATTTGCCTACATTTTGAGTCTTAAAAAAAACATGTACAGCCTAGTTGCTTGATTCATGTACTGTCATTGAATCCTTACTCCTTAAAAAGGTTAAACATCAATATGCACAAAACTTTATATGATTCTTCCAAAAAATGGCTAGAGAACAATAAAAGGGTATTAATCAACTCGAACAGTGTAAGTTTATATCAGCTGAATATCCAAGATAGATAACTATGACCAGTGTTATTGTCTATTTATAGGGTAATTTAGTTTGATGGCACAAGTAGTACAGCAAAATCTAATGTGTGTGTATATATATAAATAAATAAAAGTAAATGAATAACAAAATTGGATCAATACATAGTTAAAATATAGCTTCTATCTTTAAAACAAAGTAATGCAATAAAAAATGAAATATATCACCAAGTAGTGTATACAAACAACTAAGTAATCTTTAAGGTTAAGCCTTCCACATTTACGCTTGGTTAAGTAACACTTAAATTTTAATAACTAGTCTATATGCATAAGTAACATTGTGATACGTAAATGATCATAATAAGACTAAGAATGAAGTGGTGGCAGTGGTAAATACAGTAGCTAAATTTTAAACTAATAACATCATACTGTATGATTGCCCATGCCACTGGTCCTCTAGGTTGGCTTATTGTCAAAGTTTTGGATCACCCACTATGGGCATTACCAAACTAGTGAAGAAAAGTTATTTTCTGTATTTAAGTAGAGTGATGAGTTGATATCCATGTGTGTGTGTGTGTATGAATATTTGTTTAAATTTTAAATAAAGTATTTATTCAGATAAAACAGTGCTTCTTCTTTGAGAAAACATTCACATGTTTCTTTCATACTGTATTAAATTATTGTTTCTATTTACCAGTTTTTATATTTCTTTTAGACTGCTCACTGTAGTTGCCACCAAGGGGTTCATCTGATCCGCCAAGCACGAGAAAGCTGCGAATCTGATGCTATTAGTCTGGCCGAAACTCTGACTCACACCTTCCTGGTTCGAGATTTAGTTGTTCCATCTAACTACTGCTGTACCAAAGTAAGAACAGAAATAAGGGATCTATTTTCCAGTGTTTTCATAGGTCTCGTACATTTTCTCATGAAGTGAAGATTGTTATCTTTCAAATGTGTCAACATAGGCTTTGGTCATTTGACTGATCTTGCAACAACCAGGCAACTATGAAAGTATCTATACCATAACTTTTAATGTAGTACATTTATATTCACAAAATTTGTCAAGCTTTTAGTAAATATTACGAGTCTTTTGTACATAAAAAAATCATATTTTTTAAAAGTATTTTTACTAAAGATTTGTCTGTGAATATATGGAGTCAGTGTGTGTGACTCCAGTAATAATTTTAGTTTCCAAATTCAATTTGCATAATATCTCTTGTCAGTAAAACTTTATATTTTATCTGTTATTTTTTCTCTACCCTAACACTTTATGGACTTGATTTATCTGACCTTGTAACCACTGCACAGAAAAGCAAATACAAAATAAATCTAAATTAGCCTTTTTTTCTTTTTATAATGACAGTAAATTGTAACAGAAAATACAAGTATTTGTCATAAACAGCTTAAAGCTTGTAACAGTTTGTATCTGGTTTTATTTAATTTTATAGTTTTATTGCCCCTTGAATCATATTTACTATTAATAATTCACGGTATAAGCTGTAAATCACATGTAGTTCAAATTATGATACTGAATAATATAACACACGACCAATTACGAGCATGCTTTTTGGATAAATTTTTCTTCATTGTCTAACTTTATCTAAACTAACAAATTTTTAATTCTTACATTTTACTTACTTTTTATAAAAATAAGTAACAATTTTCATAAACGAATAAAAAATTTAGTATTTACATTTGGCCTCTTGTTTGTTTTGTTTTTTGCCATTGGCTCATTGCTGAAACTTAAGCCTACTTTTTTGTAATGATGGTACTTGTACATTATATAATTCTTATTTATTTCCAATATGCAGTTAAGAAAACAAAATAATAACAGTGACAGCAACTTTCAATCTGTAGGAAAGATAACTAAAAATCTCTACTGAGAACAAGATAGTATTATACATCATTTGGTAAATTAAAACTGTTTTACATTGTCAAAAAGAGAATTATTGGAATTTATGAACGAGAGATTGTGATAGAAGGGTGTGGCAAGTGGATCTGTCTTTTTTGTTTATATATCTGTAAACAAAAAATTTGACTGCCTTTGCTATACCTGTACTATAATTAATAATTTATGTTAAACTTAGGACATCACAGAGAGATGATGAAAAATACAGAAAATGGACAAGTTGGAGCAAACAAATATCATGTTACAACTTGAAGTCATTCTAGAAAGAAAAAAGGATAATTTAGATTTTTTATTTTGAAGTTACTAGGTCGGTCAAATTGACCAACCTTGTACAGAGTTAGCATAGAGAAAATAGTAATGATAAAATATATAGTTTTACTGAAAAAAAAATGTTTGAAATGTATTTAGGAGGTTCTAGAGATTATGCAAATGACACTTGAGATTGTTGATATGAAAAGTATTCATAAATTTGATTTTAACATGAATATCGTTTTGTCACTCGGACTGTTAAAAAAAAGACTCAATATATTCACAGACAACTCTTTAGTAAAAATCTATATACTAAAACTCTGAGATTGTTTGTTTGTTTGTTTGCTTGCTGTAATTAAATACAGCAAAAACGGCACACAATAGCACCATATTTGTAATGAAATGAGAATAGAAACAGAATAAAACAAGTTTTGTTAAAATCAAGCCACGGGTTACCGAGTTAGTGCCATTTTTCGGGTCACTTTTATGAAAATTTCTAGCATTAGTAATTTTACATCACACTACCATTCTCGCTATTTACGAAACTTCATTGGGCCATGGGTAAGCGCCGTTTTTTGGGTCACTTTTATGAAACTTTCTAGCATGAATAATTTTACATCACACTACCGTTCGCGCTCTTTACAAAACATCTTCGCTCAATTCTATTTCCCTGTCAATGTTCCCTTCTTCATTAAAAGGCGTAAGATGATAAAAACAAAATCTTGAAGA